GAACTGAATGGCTTATTGTAATCTTTTTTCTTTGTTTTATAATGAAAACACACTTACCTCAGGGCCACTGGGACCCATGATTTATCTTTGTAGGATCTGTCTTAGTAAATGCTTTAAATATATATTTTTGGTGTGCAGCTACAAAGTTGTGCATTAAGGATTTGGCAGCACACAGTGTGCACACATATTATAAAATCCCTTTAAAAGAAGTTAATATTTAATCTATATCTGTTTTTGTTTTGTTTTGGGGTGGTGGTGAGATGACCTGTCCCCATTAATCTCTAACCAACAAAAAACATTAAGAAATAAGCAAGAAAAATTAAATAGAAAATAACAGGAAAAAACTTCCCTTATTTCAAATGAAATGATGTAATCCATCTTCTCCATCATCCATCAGGGTCATGGTGGGGCTGATGCCTATCTCCAGTATTCTATGGGTGTAAGATGGGGTTCAAATCAACGAAATTCAATTCAGTTTATGTCGTCTCAACTCTTCGACTCTACGGCATTCACTCACACCAAGCATGCAAGTAGCGAAAGTGGAGAGGAAAACTCCCTTTTAACAGGAATAAACAAGCTCAGTGTGAGCGACCATCTATAGAGGCCAACTGGGCTTCAAGGAAATAAAAGCAGACATAAACCTGTTTCAGTGGAAACCCACTAAAAACTGTGGGCTAACCCAGGTTTCTCAAACATGGCATTTACAAACATGGATCAACCCGCTAATAATCGGCATTTGGCTCCTTTCACATTGGAAAAGGCTGTCGGCCTTAATGGCCTCCGTCCCCCATCTCATTCTAAATTCATTCTTTTTTTTTTTTGTCTTTCTTCCTTTGATACTCTGATTCATACTTTTTGGGCACCAGGTCATTCATTCTGGTCTCACCGACTTGGATGGACTAAACCAGGGTTTCTTAACCCTGGTCCTCGGGACCCACTATCCTGTTTTAGATGTTTCAACTCAAGTATACTGGATTCAAATGATTGCATAACCTCCTCAACAGCCATCAAATGCTGCAGAAGCCCTATAATCACCTTTTCATTAAGGTCAGGTCTTTGGAGACTGGAAAACACCTAAAACATGTAGGACAATGGGTCCCGAGGACCAGGGCAAAGAAACCCTGGACTAAACCTGGACACCCAACCTGGTACAGCTGGGTGTCATTTACATCGCTATGGTAACATATGTTGTTTATTCAGATCTGTTAGGGGGAGCTCGGAGATACCGAATGGTAGAGGCCCTAAGATCTACCCTTGGGGAACGCCACAAGGAGTTTCTATGGTTCTGAGGGAAACGCAGTGACACTAAACCAGGCATCCCCAAACTCGGTCCTCGAGAGCCGCTGTCCTGCAGGTTTTAGATGTTTCTCTGCTCCAGCACAGCTGATTTTAATTGATAGTTGATTAACAGGCTTTTGCTCAACTGCAATCATTATAATCAGCTGTGCTAAAGCAGGGAAACCTCTAAAACCTGCAGGACAGCGGCCCTCGAGGACCGAGTTTGGGGATGCCTGCACTAAACAGTGTCTGTCCTTCAGTGGGATTTAAACCAGTCCAGTTCTGGACCAGAAAGGCAGACCCAGATTTTGAGACGCTCTGATAAAATGATCAACAGTGTCAAACGCTGCTATAAGGTCCAGCAATCCCAGAACTGTGGTTCTTCCTTAGTGCATGTCATTGAGGTCAGTCTCTGTACTGCGGGGAGGAAGGAAGCCTGACTGGAAGACGATGAAGTTGCTTGTTGTCACAACTTTTTCAGTAATCTTACTGAGGAAGAGGATCTTTGAAATATGCCTGTAGTTCACCAGCAGCAGCTTTTTCAAGTTGGTCTTATAATTACAGATTTTAGAACTTGGAGGAAAGCACCTGACAAAAGGGACGATTTTAGTATTAGAGTTAAGTCAGATGTTATGAGAGGCTGAGCTTTTAGGAAGGATGACGGTAAAACAAGGAGGCAGCAGGAGGAGGAGCTCAGCTGGTTTTTGAGTTCATTTGGTGAAACTTGGAAATTACATAAACTCATTCTCACAATTGTTGATATGAAAATATGTGGAATAAACTATGACACCCATTGACTGAAGGGGACCACTTTCATTCGAAATAATAACATCACAAAACAAAACAAGGTTTTCCAGGGCCTCTCTCTCCCTCTCTGTCAGATCCCCTCCATGCCTATGTGTGCTGTTTTTATCAGTAAGAGAGTGCAGAAGATTGGGTTGATTTGAATTTTTGCCTTCTGCATCTTCTCCCGTGTTCCTGTCGACTCCTGCAGCCTCCTAGATCAGCCCCATCCTAATAGTTGCATCAGCTTTGGAAAGAATCATTCAGTTTTTCTGTGATCTCGTATTTCCTCCACTTAGTAATGACTGTCTTCACGATACGGTACCATGATCAGGCTGTGGATGCTAATTAAACGGTTCTCCTGACGGATACTTTAGTGCCGTGAGATATTTTGGATCATCTGTAACCTCTACTGAAAACGATGGCTTTAATCAAAGGATGAAAGTGAGCAAATGTCAGCAAAAGGCAGCTTGAGGAAATATTAAACTTTATTTTTCATTCATATTCTTCTCAATTGACGGCAGTTGTGAAGCAGAGAAGACTGAATGAGTTTAACAGAATTTGCAAAACTGCAAGTAATTTATTACCTTTTTTTGTGATAAATGTGTCTGTTTTTTTGTTGAGGAGAATTTATTATGGTTTCTGTTTTAGTTTGTTTTTTTTTATCTCTTAAGGTTGTGTACAGTTTTAAGTGCCGCTGTGGCATTTAGGATGGTATTCTATTCACACTAACACTTCAACTCGGGAGGGAATAATGCATTTTTATAGATAAGTTTTGATGTTTTTTTATTTCATTATTCTACAAAAAAAAAGCATTTCGATTCGTTTAATTCGAGAATAAAAGATCACATGCCAACATTCGGGAAAAGCAAACCCAAATTCCCTAAAAACCGGAGCAAAATGTGATGAAATAAAAATAAATCATTGTAAGGGCACAAAGGCCACCTTTGAAAGCCAAAAAACAAAACTGCTTGTCTTTTCTTTCCAAAAATTTCCCTCAAAGCGAACATCAACAAATGGAACAGGGGACAAGCGGGAAGAAAAACTCTTCATTGAATATTCATTAACCGGTGCCTAGGTGTATACATGGCTCTTAACCACTCTTGTTTATGACTTAAGGACTTGTAGTACTGACCTTAGTTTAACACAGCCACAGATACCAAATTAACCTCTAGCCTCCACAGGGCTAGCCATGCCCTGCTAACAAGCAACCTGTCTAGACACACAAGAAGTACTTTATGATTCCACCTTTCACAATCCCCCCTCTTACTCCAGGTCTCTCTCTCCTTTGTTTCTCTCTTACCTTCGCTCTCCACCTCTCTGTCTCCACTAACACCAACTGGCACATCCTCTTGCCCTCTATCGTTCTCCTCACCATTTCATCCTTGTTTACCCCCCTACACCATTTTTCATGTACCTCCCAAGCTGTGCTGTGTTTGGGTCACGAACTCAACAACCTGAGTTTATGAGAGGAAGGAATTTTCCTCATCCTTCACAGAAACGCTCTCAGACACATGATAAAAAAAAGCTATATCGTATAAACATGCATCATGAGGCTTAGATGTTATGCCAGAATAAAAAACAGGTTAAAGTTTCTATGAAAATGTTTTATTACTTGGAAAACTTAATGTTTTTGTCTTAAAAAAGGGGAATTAAAACATTTGTATTATCAATCTATCAAATGAATGTATTCTAATTTCATCATGTACTCATGAGTTTAAAAGAAGCATTATTAGTGCTATTTAATATTATATTATATGTATATCACCAGATATTTATATTTTGTCGAACACTAGAGATTTTTAAACCACAAAAGATACAAACACAGAGGCTGAAATTACCTGAAGGTATTTCTTTGGTAGATTTTGGAATCTGCTCTGTTTT